GCAAAGCAAAATTGCGGGATAGAAAAAGAGGAGAGTTGCTAACAAGAAAAATGGAGACAGTAAGTACTTGCATTACCTATACGAAAATATATGTATATTAAGTATGTAAATGTAAGTACATAAGTGTAAATATGTATACACAAATGTATGCAATGATTGCATTTGCACGCAAAATGCGTGACAGCCTAATAGCACCGAATAGACGGCGCACACGCGCAATGCTTTACGAGCTGCATGCCGGTGATGTTTTTTATTTATTTTATTTTTTTGTTGGTTGTGTGAACAAAAAAAATTATTTAGCAAACAGACTAGCGGACTTGATTTCTAAACATGGCAGCACATATTCACCACCAAATATTGTTTACATTGTTCGTCGATAATGCAAAATAAATCTCTGCTGTGGCAGCGACACAAAAAAACGCAAAAAAAAGGGAAACTAAAACTTCATGCCGCCACATACCGATTGCCGGGGGGTAGCAGCAGCCAGCCACTCCAACTGCCACCAGGCGACAGCTTTGTGCGTACATAGAACATAATTTAATTTAGCTTCGCTTGAAGTTGGCCATAAAGCATTTTAAAGGCATGGCGCATGACCAGCGGGCAAGTCAAACCGGCCAATCAAGCAAGTGACCGCTCGCGTCCATTCTGGCGGACATTTCGAAAGGTAGTCGATAAATGCATTTGCCATTTTTTGTTTGTTGTCTTGGCTCCATGACCACTGCTTTCGAGCTGATTAGATTTAGAAGGAGAACCATTGAATAAAAGGAACATTTTTATGAGAGGTCTTCTTCGTTAAAGAAATACTAAATAGGAGAAAGGAATCAAATATGCGGAAAATACGGAATGTCGTTAAATCGTTAATTGCACCTATTAGGGATGAGGTGGGGAATAACTGATCTCCGATTATAGCCGTGGGAGATTATTTGCGACAAATTAGTTACGAAATGTGTGGCCGCTGTGGTGTGGTGGTTAGCAGTGCGCGCTTCCACTCCGCAGAGCCTGGGCTCAAGCCCTGGTCAAAGCAACATCGCAAACAAATAAAGAAGAAAGGTTTTTACTTTTGCGGCGATTGCCCATCTCAGCTTTCCTTTTATATATAAATATTCACCATTCATTATAATTTTCTGCGCTATTTTTTAATTCCTAAACTAATTTATTACTTTAAAATCACACACATGTTTTTAGAGTTTTGCGATTAATTATCTATTATGAAAAAATGCTCTGAATCCAAATCTCCCTAAAGAATTTCAATTATGGAACATTAAAAGACAAAAATATATGTATGTATACAAGCAACGCTGGTTACGAAAGAATTCAATTCCCACAACAGCTTGGAGCATTCAAACCGCCAATTAGAAGCAGAAGTTTAAAAACGTACGTAATTAATTTATTGGGTTCAAAAAGGCAAAACCACTAGGCGGTGAAAATTACATAAGTATACATAAAAATAAACCAAAACCCCTTGTGGGTTTCTCGAATGGCATGGCATTGGTGTTCTCGAAAAGTAAGACGACAAGCAGCTCGCTGTCTAGAAGGAGGAAGCGGAATTTGGCGGAGCAAACCAGGCAGGAGAAATCCTCTTCTGTTGTTGGCAGTATGCCTCTAGTCATGACATCTCCTAAAAGGCTCAGCCTACCAACACTTCGCTGTTAAAAGCCTGATAACTAATACTTAAAAAAAAAAAATGAAGATGAGGTGTAGGTATTTAACAAGAAAAATGACCAGAAAGTAATGCCTCGAGTAGTCTGCTGTCCTATCTGCTCAATGAAAGCAAATACTTTGTTAGACCTTCTGGCCTCTACAGAGCCGGATTAAGAATGTGGGGGCCCGATGCTGTTATACATGTGCGGCCCCTTTTTGAGTTAATTATTACATACAATTAAGGAAAAATTATATTTTCATATTAACAGTGACTATTCATATTAATTATTGACTTTTTACCACGTATTTTCTTTTGAAAATTTCGCCTGAATTCCTTTGCACTTGCCGCTTATGTTGCACGCAGTATCAAAAGAATGACCCCGGCAGTCTCGTTTATGTACAGAGATGGAATAGCATGAATATTTTGTCTTTTTATCCAACTTATTATTTTTGCCTGTACTTTCTCACCCCTCAAAGTTACTATTTCCTCGCAGGTTGTTGATAAATAATTCACGTGCCCTCGTCCCTTATTTCCGTATTCTTAGATATGCCCGAGGGTCATTCTGAGCTATTAGTTCCAGCGTCCCACGGAAATTTACATTATTGGGTGAGTCGAGAATCTCCCTAGATCCAGAAGAAGCTAAGCTAGCCTCCGCAAGATGTTTTGATGGTGTTGACAAATCTTCTTAATACCCAGCGATCTTTTCTGGTATCTCTCTGAAAAAATTTTTCTTTTGTTCTTTCGTCATCACATATGGGGGCCTCCAAAATGGGGAGGCCCTGTGCCGCGGCCCTGCCCTTAATCCGGCACTGGGCCTCTTGAGTGAATCGAAATGTTTGGTCCTTTTTAAGAATTTGCACAACCCAAGGATTCAGTTTCACTACAGTACTCTTTAAGATTAGCCCTTTTTAACCGACTTTATGTATGTTACCGCATAACTGTGGACCACGTCAACCGATTCTTCTTGCATCGGAAAGGCAATGTCTCAGAGGTGGTTCCGTACTAATCTGGTTTAGATCCAAACATTGGAACCTGAAAAAATTAACGGTACTCCCAGATTTTTATATGAGAGTTGAAGTCGGTTTTGTTTTTTGCTTAAAAATTACTTTTTGTAGAACAAGTTAATTACGCGTACTCCGTTTACCTTGTACTAAGTGTTCTAAATAGTATTTACTCGCCAGATTTGCATTCTTATCATCCTCACCAAAAATATTTAAGCCACCAAAAATTATTAAGCCATTGCTAAGGAAATATTTCGATTGTAGGGCTATACAAGTATTAAGTGAGCAGAGTTTTAGTAATTTTTAAACCCTACCTCCGCCTTGTCCAAAGAGTAATAAATAAATATTGCTGACGTCATCATCTCCCAAACCCTATTGCCCCTTGTTATCAAAAATAAGCAAATAAAAGAACCTCCCTCCCATCCATGGTTACGTAATACTGGAATAGCCCCTACTCAAGTAGAACTATATATTTGAAAAGAAAAAAAAATCATATTGCCAAATGTACAAATGTAGCTGTCACCAGAAAATGAAAAAAGGTGACCCCTAGGTTCGGCAAAAAAAGTTTTTTTCGATTCGGGTGTACGGTTAATGTTTTCGTTCGCTTGTAAGGTGGTACGTTCAACATATATGTACATACATACGTGTATAAAAAGTTATGTAGTTAAACCCCAGCTTACACACCCACATAGATAGTGTTCGCAGCAATATTTTTTTTATGTTGATTTATTTACGCTGATTTTCAAAACACTTTCCCTGGGCGAAATCCAATTCCTCGTACAATACTAAAATCAAAACTAAACAAACAACTACTAACAATTAGTGATGAATAGCAATGCACTTTTTTGCACCATAATTCCACAAATTAATTGCTACGCCGACTCGCAGGCACGGTCATTGCCAATTAAATGACGGACGAAATGAAAAATGCAACGGTCAAAGGCCATTTCCCCCGAACAGTGCAAGCGAGCAAATCGTGCGTAGGCGGAGGATGAGAAATGATTTAAAAAAATTGCAGCAGCTTTGTGTGTTTATGTACCTACAAATCTGCGTACAAATGTATATGTACATATGTACGTATGTATGTTCGCGTCCATACGTACTACAACTCTTGAAACAGTGCGGATACAGATAAGTAAATTACAAACATAAAAACTTAAAAATGCAGTGGGAAAAAAATGAAATCATGACAAAGAATTGTTTGCAGAAAAAAAGTGAATAAATAAACAGTGATGCATAATTGCATTTCCGCTTATTTGAGAGAGTGAATTAAAATCAGCACTGATCTGCGTTCTGATTTCGCAATGCAGAGGTGGAATGTGCTGTCTAAGGAAGCTCCGGTGTTTAATTCTCGTCCTCTTCATATCTGAGTTTTGTTTACTACTTAATATATTTAGTTAAAAGTGGTGATGAGTAAATTCGACTTGTGCATAATTTGATTAATTGAACTCAACTTCAGTGTTAGAAAATTAAAATAAGACTAAAAATTATGTTTTGGGTGGACTTATTTTCGGAAAATCAATCTTTTAATCGTCTAATGTAGTGTTTCAGTGATATATTTCGCTGCACTTAAATCGCTCTGCTAAAGTAAATAAGTAAGGAATCGCAATTTTTTTTTTTGGTAATCATTCACTTTATTTAGACATCTGACATTCTTATATAGATACAATTGTACAATCATGTAAATAATAAATTTATTAGTATGATTGCTTTAATTAGATATACTTTAGGTATTATTTACCAAACTCCCGAAGCACAGAGTTCGCTTTTATATCAGATTAGTCAAACAATTTTTGGGAGTTTTTTTTCCGTCTGAAAAGAGTTAACTTAGTCTTTTGTTTGGGTTTTTTTATTACAAATGCTGTTGTTTTAGAGAATTTTAAATGGTGTCGTGGTTTCAATATTAGATGGCTTTTAATATTAGATGTATGTATTAGATTATTTAGAATAAAATATTCACTGCATTGGAAACCTTTATCTGATAATTGCTCATGTAAACCTGTGATGTCGGAGCAGCTGCCTTCAAGAAATTTTTTTGAATTGTGACAAATATTTCTGCAAAAGTCGCGCACGGCTGAAAGTTAGTACTACGATTTGGTTACTTTTGTGCGAATTTCGTTAAATACAACTTAAAAATCGATTTTTTTTTTTTTGTGTATATTATTAAAATTAGAAACAACCAGCCATTTTATTCTACGAGCTTAGATCGAAACAATTCAACTACTATTTGAGAATTTTTACAAGCGTCAAATTACTCGCTCATAATTTCATTCATTTAAGATGAAATGATTTTTTTTTTAAGCTTAAACTTAAAACATAATGCGTACAAAATAAATTTTGAGTTTTTTTTTTTTTTTAATTTAAGAAATACAAGTATTGCTACGTTGGAATTTCGAATATGTCCTCAATAGCCTCAACTAGGTTGCCACCGCATTGCTGTTCATTTGAACCGCTTCATCAGCACCGTTACAAGTGGTAGCAGCACTAGCGCGACGTAGGGCGAGAAGGCGCTGGCGCCATTACATCCATCTGTGCTACACGTCTGACAGAACACCGTTTTGATGTAGGACGAGGTCGTTTCGTGGCCGCAGCGATCGGAGGAATCGTCGTAGTCCTCGTAGAAGCAAGAGCGCGAAATGACACGCTTACCGTAAACTGTAAAGAAAAATTGGAAAAATGTAGCATAAAATTGTATGGATTAAGAAAAAAAAAAACAATTAATTAAAAACGATTTGATTGAAGTTTTTATTAGTAGTTGGTAAAAAAATACGAAAAATCGACCCTTTCACCGGCTAAATTTTCTGGGGAGTGATTTTTTCCCATTTAAGTAATATACATTTGGGTTGTTAACGCTTGCCTGTTTATCAGGTTATCTGGTTATGTGGTTATATTTCTTATTCAGTATACGACGATAACATACACTACAGAATAATAATTTTTAACCAGATAACCTGATAACCAGACAAGTGTGAACAACCCAATTGTAAATATGAAACAGATCGGATGATAAATACGGATATTCCGAATATCTCGACTCCCCCGCCACCTACCGGATACATTTTTCTTTCTTTCGTCTTGTCGTCTTGCTTTGTCATTGGGTTCTGAGTTATGTTGAAGTTTTAAAGCTTGTAAATGGTATGCAATAGCTTCATTTCGATTTTCGAAAAGAGGCGTTCTAATGGCGTCTGAAATTTTGTTCGAGATGAATTAAATTTTACCACCACCTGGTAGGGCCCAGGCCTCTGCAACAACTAACATTCAATCTCGTTTTTCTCACCACAACCACCTGCAATTCTAACTTTGAAGGCTTAGCGAAATTGCAACCGCCAAAAATTTATTTTATTAATGTCTCATAAAATTATCCAATAATAAAAATTAAATCTTCCATGCGCTTGCAGCTGAATGATATTTATTATTGTCATTTAAATGCAAAGTGGCCCATTATGTAACATAAAAATGTCCAAATAAACAGGCGCCGGTCTTATACATTTGCACAAAGATTTACAAGATTTGTGAAAAAAATTTTTTTTTTTTTTGGTTTCTGTACGATTTTTATCGGCAAGCATTTGTTGGTGCGTTTCTTTTCTTGCGTAGATTGCAGCGAATAAATATTGCATTGGTCACTTTGGGGCAACGGTAAACAAAGGGTCATTCAAACAGTTTTGAAAAACAACTCTGTTTATGCTTTTCGACTGATTTATGTATTTGAACAAAACTACCAGAAAATTTTCTAAGAAATGGCTTACAAAGAGAGCCAATATGTTTTAATCAATGATACGGGAAGTTTCAATAATTAAAAAAGCTCCATTTGGCACCACCACCATACATAACTGAAACACCCTGTATAAGCTCAGGCACACGAAAGTACACACACACATACATATGTATGTTCATGCGAGTGAGAAGCATGGCGCATGTTAACTGACATTTAAAATGTCATTTGACTGTCAATTTTACAACTTAAAACTTATGCAAATTTTGCTTTTTAATACAAAAAAAAAAACTAATAAAGTTACTACTCGTACATAAAAGCACTGAAATGCACCAACAACGAATGTGAGGGTATATGTAACGTATGTAAATGTTTAATAATAATACAACTACTTCTAATTTTGAATTTTACATACATCTACAAACATAAATTGTATGCCAAAAGTAATGGTTTAAAATTTTGTATATTCGGTAATATTTTTAATGGTACTTTTGTACCATACATAAATTTGTATAACATAATATTTTTCTAAATATAATCCTTAATTAAATTCGCTGGCAGTTTAATTTATTCTTTCTTACAGTGTTTATGCGAAATAATACTGAGCCACGTCTACTTCTCTTTACTGCTGGTCTTGTATCCAATAAGCCAGCCAAAAATATTTCCAACTTGGCTCAAATTAACTAAATTCTTGGCTTACGAAACGGATTGACAAACTTTTAAGTGACAGCTAACATGGCTGAGAATCTCTAACGTTTGCTGTTTGATTTTTAAGTGGAAAACCAATGCGTTGAAAAAAATTAGCTTGCGACCATAAATTGTAACTCGCACTGCCTTAAATGGCTGAAACGGTTAATGCAACTCCAAAAGCCCAACACCAATAACCGGCAAAGTGATTGCAGTGCGTAAGTATGTATGTGTGTGTGTGTTGTATTTCGGTACGGTAATTGCAATTCGTGTGATGCTAGCTAGCTAAATGACAAACTAGCTGGTAGTAATATTTAATACTTAATAATAAAAATCATACAATTAAATTTCGAAAACGACACCAAAACAAATTAAAAGTTTGTGAAGAAAAAAAAATAGACTTGTAATGCTTTAAAAAAAACTAACTAACGGTTATGTTTTAGGTCGCCGAATTACAGCCGTGGAGGAAGCACAACAGCTGTCACTTGGCATCACTTGGAAATTTTATTTGCTAAGAGGAATCGACATTTGTGTCCAAAAAAATCATAATTACTATTCGTTATTAGCAGGCAATTGGCAATTACTTAGTACCGGCGGCAACAAAACTAAGCAACAAAACTGCACAATGCATTTTTGCCGATTATTTTTCTCGTAGTCGCTCAACTGTCAATCGTTTCGCTAGTTTATTACACGCTTTGCCGTCGGCTGATTGTTGTTGGTTTTGTGGAGAATTGAAATTGTGTTTGCAATTCATGTTGTTGTGATTATTGCACCCATTACTGGCGGTACAACAACTTAATTATGTTTTCTAAGGAGCCCGGTTAGATACAGAGCTCAGCAGCTGCGTCTTAATATTTTTAATATTTTTAGTTTTTTTTTTTTGTTAAGTATTTTGATGCCGTTGATCTATAAATGTCGACATGAAACTAATTTCTGATTTTACGGATGAGTGTGTGTGTGACTGTTACCTCAATTTGCTGCTTGTGTAATTACACACTAATAAAAACGTAGTACAGTTATTGTGTATATATAAATAAATTATGTACGTCAATCTGGTTTGGATTTGACTTTCGGGCATGAAAATTAATTGAGTAATTTTTGTGGGCGGTAATGAGCGCAGGTAATCAGATGTTTAGTGTTCGTTAAAAAACGATTTCTGCACGGAGCCTTAATTAGTGGATACAAAGAAAGGAAAAAGGCGAAATCGTAAATCGCGCTCTTCAAGTTCTGATATCAACGACAGATCTTAAGAGTATTTCGAATTCTGTTAAACGAATGCAGGCAAGAATATGGAAGTTAACGGGTCTGGAACCCCAATACAAGGGGCTCCCAAAAAAATGGCAATACAAATCGGTAAGCGTACACCAGCATCCAAGTCTGTCTGTCCGTCCGTTCACACAATAATTCAAGTAAAATATGAGATATCTGAACGCAATTGGTTACGTATGGCAAAATCGGACAGTAATCACGGCCACCTCTAGGGATGGCAAAAAAAAAACATAAAATAATCGATTAATTTTTCATATGTTTAATCACAAGCCAAAAAAAAATTAATTGCAATTATTGAGTAATAAACGATTAATCGAATATTTAAAGACACTTTTTTACAGTGAGTGTTCGCAAAAACACTTTTCCATAAAAAATGTCTAATTCTCTGGTTAATTAGCCTTAAATAAACTAAAACGAGTATTTTTAGTGGCGATATTTATTTATTATTTAACCAAGTTTGCAAAAACCGAAGCGTTTTGTTGTTAAGCGGTTGCGTTTTCCCTGGCGCTGAGATAGCACCGAGGTACAAACTAAATGACAGTCTTTTTTCGAAAATCCGTAAAGTTTTGCGTAAACAGTTTTCATATACTCCCAAGCGTCGTTGATATTCCGCTTTGGTTCTAGGACTTGGCAATTTAAATAAAAATTCATTTCATCTTCAAATCATCACCTTTTCGCCTTCGTTTGTGTAAAAAAAATTTATGAGGAGCCCAAATATCGAACTAATTTCCTACTGATTCTAGTGATGACTCGCTCCATAAGAACATCTACGGCCAATACTAACGGATCACTGAAATGAATTCCTTAGAACCTCGGGTCGAGTAAAGTTGATGCAGCTGGCAAAAAAGAATTTCCGATGGATGGATTTTAGACAAGTACAGAAATCATATTTCTTGAATATATTTTAACGATTATTTTACAAATCCTCGATTAATAATCGATAAACGAAACACAAAACTACGATACAATTAAATCGACAATCGTAAAAAAATAATCGATTAATTTAATCAAATGATTAATAGCTGCAATCCCTACCCACCTCCCATATAACGGTATTTTCGAAAAATGCTAAGCCTACGATATATCCGCTAAGACTGAATACAAATTATTGAAATTTGGAATCTGAAATAGATTAAGACAGTTATGCAATCTGTGAAAAATGGGCGTGGCATCGCCTAATTGTAGTGAAATGCTGTATCTCAGTAGCCGCTTTACCAATCCCCAGCAAACTCTGGTAGGAACATTGCTAAGGGTCTCACTTGGAAACTCGTTGAAAATTCTTGAAATCAGGCCCACTACGAAAACTTCGATATTTCAATAACTAAAGACGTGAATTTACTTGAATTTATATCAAAATTATATATTTTTTGAAAAGGGACATGACACCAATAACTTACGACTACATAAATGTATATCGATAACCGCTTAATCGATTTCCAAAAAACGTGGTGCAATTATTTCAATAAGTATGATATAAAGTTCGGTTTCGCACAAAGTTATACTTCTTTACTTGGTTTTTGATGAAAGTATAGCTCGTTATATATCGAGCCCTAACCGCCAAAATAACGTAAGCGGCATTTTTTTCAAAATTTTATTTTTGATGTAGAAATGCATATTGATGCTCTAGGAATATTTCTGCATCAAAAGATAATTTTGAATAAAATGTCGCTTGCATTATTTTGGCGATTATGGCTCGATATGTAAGCCCGATGTTTAAACTTTGTACAAAAATTGGTATAAAATTTTCAAAATTTTAATAATAATATTTAGATGTCCTATCAGCTTTAGTCTAGCCAACGCAGCATAAGTTTGGGTTGGCTTACAATTGATTTGTCTCCTCTCAAAGAAAACCTTTTCTCAGGCAATAAATGTTATCAAAATTCTCACGGATTATTTAAAATATTGGACCAGGAAGCCTCTGAACGATGACAAAATTTGTAGAGAGAATTCAATCACTGGCAATGCTTCAGAGCGGTAGCGAAGGTTT